TATCTGAGTTTTCTAACATGCAGACATGTTCCAAGGCCCCGTCTTTCCTATGTTACTTTACACCTAGTAGATAACAATACAAATGTTTTATTTTACCTTTTACTATATTTAATGCTTTGTAGATGACAGACATCTAGCTCCAGAGTATTTCTTGACAAATTTTACATGCTGATTTCAATGAGTTAGTTTTTCCGTCAGAAATTGAACCTCCTACCTAGAAAACTTTCAAATCATTTCATTTCTGTCGGAAAGTCCACCTCATACCTAGCAAAAGCTTAAATCATTTCATTTTTTTAAATTTTATTCTGTATACTTTGTTTGAAGTTAAGCACAAAGCTACACAATGTGTCATCTGTGCTCTGCCCACCACGTATGAAACCTGATTTCTAGCGCTACATACCGCTATGCCACTGAATCTCGTTTTATTAACTTAACTTCTCTTAAATATTGGTCCTTTTATTTTCTAAAATTTTAAATTACTTGGCCTCATTTTGTACAGAAATACTACTTATTTACTTCTTAAAAAAGCTTAGTCCCTGTATCAATTGTCTTAATCATACTCCTGGCAAAAACAGAGGTAAACATCTCTCAAACCATGACAGAAATGTGTTCATACGATTGTACATCTACCTACCTCCTAGTGAACCGTAACACAAATATTTGTGATTAATATAAACTAAAGCTATCCTTACTGGTTTTCTATCAAATTCTCATACTCTTGTTCCATTCTTTTCTAAAAAATCTGCTGTAACTCTTACTTTCATTTGCACCCTCAAACACCTTAAGGAAGGGCCAGCCTCTCAAATCCAAATTTAGTTTTTGCTAATCTACTTTCCACTCCACTGGGTTCATTTTAGTTGTATGGTATTATCACATAAACTGATTTCCGACAAGTTAAGAGCCTTTCTAACAAGAGGTTTGCCCGAAAGTGCATTTCAGAATAAAATTAAATTTTGACCCGATTGAAATAGGGAAAGAGGTCGGGTACAAAATTTCGAATTAAAACAAATGGACTTTATGTGTATATCAGACACGACAATAAAAAAGCAATTAGAGCGTAACAAGGGATGATCATACTTCTATTTTTTATATGAAACAAAAACAATATTCCTCGCAAAACTATGAACAAAACCGTTTTATCGCCAAGCTAAACAATGGGCTATGTACGCTTTTTCCATCGCGAGAAATCAAATCCAAAATTTTAGCATTATAAGTCCGCAGAATGTTTATCCGAGCAGAAATTAATATCTCAAAATGCATTAGTCACTGGTCACGCCCATTATCAAAAATAGGTTTGCAGAACACCAGGTATTTCTAAATTTTTAAGTGATTGATGTGACTAAATATCAAGTAGTACAAGCTTAAAGAAATTCTCAAGTGACACCTTCCGTGGGAAAGTACAAAAAGCCATGGGTAATGACTCTTTATAATATGTAAACTAGCAAAAGAATATTAGCACGAACAATCTTGTGTATATCATTGCGAAAAATTTTGTTAAACATAAATGTGCACTTTTTAAAGCTAGAATAGCAAGAAATGCCTTATACGTGACACGTGTTACACTTGTCTTAAAATATATTTAGCTATTAATACAAGAGAACGAAACTAGAAAAAGTTTCCTCTCTAAAATTTTGAGAGGAGTATAAATCTCCGTACCCCCCCCCCCCTGTTTTTAATATATACAGGGTTTTGTGTTTCTCATTCCTGGACATTTAAATCACTTTTTATTTTCCATAAATATACTTCTTACAAAGGCTTGCTCCATCGCATTTTCTTTTTCTAAAATATAATGGGATAATAATTTATAAATCAAAATGACTAATCAGACTTGTCTTGCTTTCAGACATTAACCATTTTTTCTTTCAAATTAAAAACAAAACATACAACTTACCTGTTCTTACGATATTTTTTACATAGTTGTTTGTTATTTAACAGATTTTGATAGTAAACAAAATACAGCATTAGGTGGCGCGGCCGTCGCGACAGACTTCCAAGCGAAAGGTCTAGAATCTCAAATATATCTTTTATTTTTCATAAGTATTTTAACATTAAACGAAATATATTTTATTTTTTATAAATAAAGTATTATAGAAAAATTCTATCCCAATATTTGAAACGTATATTGAAGAGTTCAAAATATTTTAAGACTTAGTCATAAATTCTGTATCAACACCCTATTTAAAGTTCCTAAGTGTTGCTACATAAGCTTTTCATAAGTACAAAAAAAAAACATTTTTGCTGCTTTTCATGAACAAAACTTTCAAGTACCTGAACGTCATATTCTTGACTACAGTGACACTACAACCACCGTTAACTCAACTGTTGCCTGTCTCGTTAACCTTACTCCTAGTTCTTCTTATGTTGTTGATAATGATTTCTTACATGCTCCAATTACTGCAGCTGATGTCCGCTGAAGAACAGACGTAACACTGCCCCTGGTCCTGATGGCATCACATACTGCCAAGTCCGTCATGCTCCTCTGCAATTCCTTCGACTTCTTGTATTGTTCTACGCCTTTCTTCTTTCCTCAGGATTTTTTTTCCTGATTCCTGGAAGTTATCCACTGTCCTGTTTTTTTCTGAAACCGGGTAAACCTGCCTCTGATGTTAATTCTTATCGTCCTATCAGCCTCACTAGTGTTTTCAGTAAAATCTTTGAACGCATCCTTGTTGCCCGTCTTCATCAATACATAGCTTCTCACAACCTGCTGCCTCATACACAGGCGGGATTTTGCCCACGCCTTTCTACTTTGGATTAACTTCTCAAAATTGTCTGACTCACTTTCCAATCATTTCAACACTGAAGACCCTCCTGCATGCTCCTGTTTGATTTCCCTATTTGATGTCCGGGTTGACAATGTCCTGATCCTCCTTTCCGACTCCGTGACCCATCTAGGCATTGTCTTTGATAAGCATCTTACTTGGAAGCCATACCTATCTGCCCTTTCTGCTAAGGTTACTCGACGTCTTCGTTTCCTCTGTTCTCTCACTGGTACCTTCTGGGGCCTGAACCCTCCTCTTCTGCTATACAC